AGGCTATTTTTCTTGAACAAGTAGTAAACATGTACATATATAAGCATACAGTTTACAGTGTTTGTTTGTGGATCAAAATTTTGGAACTGACTTTCTCCAGTGATGTAGTCGAGTATTGTGAGAACCAAGTTTTCTACCAAATATTTAACTAGTTAGGAGGGAACAAAGCTTAAGTACGTCGGCATTTGATGGTACATGCATAAAGGTAAGATTACAAAGCAACATAATGACTTCAGACCTTCACTGTTTGATTAAAATTAACTTTTTAGGACAAAACTACTTGAAAGTACTCGGCCGAGTACTTTCCGAGTACTTTTCTCCTTAAAACTTAAATTTTACACAACTGGGAGTGTCTGAAGTCTAACATTTATTTTGTAATCTTACCTTTGCCCATTTACCATCAAATGCCTGTGCACTCTGGCTTTATTCCCTCTTACCCAGTTCAGTATTGTGCGGAGAATGTTGGTACTCGGAAAGTACGCGACTACAACACTGACTTTCTCAGGAAGTATTATTGTCCCTACCTTTGGCACATCTCCAATTCTCCATTGCTGTAGAGTGAACTCAAAGTTGATCTCCCAATGCGACACAAAAAAATCCAGATTGTCACTTGTTTTTCTCATCTGTAGTTGCTCATTAATTCTCTATTCACAATATATGTCAATGTACATTTACATTTGTTTTCATTATAACGTCTGTTCTATTTCAACTCTTGTTGTTTTTGTCAGTGTCAGCATGAATGAATAAAAATCGAAAAAATAAAATAAAAAATTGTCTAATTTTGGACACAATGCATGGCCAAGAGATCAGAATTGTGCATGCAGTCGTTCACCCGCATCTACATCTACATATAATGCGGGCTAACATAAAAAACTGCTCAAAACCTTAAAATAGAATCCTGGTATTTAAATAGGACATTAAGTGTGAACTGATCCGAGTAATTAAGAGTGGTTTTCAAGGTCCTCTATCTTCATGCTTATACTTGTCTACATGTACAGTACAAAGTCACTGAAGTTCACAACTGGATATATCCCAAGGTTTCCAGGTGTTTGTGGCAGAAAATCCCCATAGGAATACCCCCAGGACAAAGTTCAAGTGTAAACTGTAGGACCGCAAAAACTTGCCGATATTGCAAAACCTGTGGGGTATGTGTGAACATGGAGGTAGAATCACATGGTGTGAAGCACCATACTGTACTTACTTGCAGTGTGCTGGTTTGTAAAAGCCGTTCACATGAAATACTTTCCAGAACCACAAGGAGTACATCGGTGAGGATTTGGAACTTCTCTACATGAAAATTTTCTAAAGTGGTAAACGTGCGTAGTTGGACACGTGTTTCTCAGTTCTGATAATTTCCAAAATTTGTAAGTGGAGTCAATCGATACTATTCTACAATATCTGCACCGGTACACTCAATAGTCTTTGTCCTGTAGACAGTAGTTACTAGTTATTATGAACTGGTTTGCAGAAACTAAATAAACCACCAGAGTAGACATTCATGGAGTATTGGTCTTCTGCTTGGTTGCATAATCTTTGCTTGGTAGATGTATTAACAAGCTGACAAAATATGAGGATGCATAACTTCTGTTTCTGTATTTGTCGGTTTTTTGGGGAAATTTAACATTGTTACAGTGAAGATAAAAAATTCTTTATATAGTTATTTTTCTTCCTTTTTTTAATGAGGAAACTAACCTTATGATTAGGATGTTGAAATATTATGTATCAACGGTAAGTAGCTACCTAAATGGCACTGTAGTCAGCTGGTATGGAGTAACAATATCACAAAGTGAGATAAAAAATTTTCGGTCAATATTTGGGCAAGACTTGGTACAATCAACCCTGATAAGGAGGGTCCATTGTTCCCCAAGTGCTATCAAATCACCTTAACAAACAATGAGCAGGCAAACTGTGGTAAATGTGGTTTGCACCTTCCAGCAAGGGGCTGTTTGTTTTTCTGACCACAAAACATGATTTTGGTGATGAGAACCTATTAAATATTGGATGACATTGTACCATCCCAAGTGATTGCATAATGATTACTGAGAGAATTTACTGGCTTGAAAAATCCTCAGTGGTTAAAAAAAACACAACAAGCTGACCTGAGTTTGAAGATCCCCCTTGAAATCGAAGTATACAGTGTGTGAAATACAGCACCTGTGTTATACCTCTACTGTATATTTACATTTCACCTGACATGCATGGTGAGACAAACCCTGATGAGGTTCTTAATGCATCAATGAACTTCACACGTGAGATCCATGCCAAAACTGCAGTTGGATTTGTACACACGAGTTGGCCCTTAACCCATTGGACGACTGCCTTTTACACTGTTCTGAAATCAACTGAGGTTTAACGCATCACATGGACACTGATGAAGTTCGTATCGAAATTATATGTGCATGTATGTTCTGCTCACTCCCTGAACTTCAGCTGAACGTATGAACATCTACAATGCCTTTCAATGTAAGAACAGATGTTTTTGCATCTGCTAAACTCCTTGTAGATGCATCAATGAATTAGCCTAGCATCTTAACTTTGGTATGAAAGGTACAGTACAGTATGTGTAGGAAGGAGGTTTAGGGAATAGCTTGTTGCTTTTTAACCCTAACACTCCCAAATCTTCCAATTCTAATACAATTTTACATACACCCTAGGGGGTTAGGGTTAAAGTTCCTTCCATCACGTGTCTAACTTCCTATACAAAGTCGGTGATTGGTTTCTAAAGCTCAACAGTTAACTGATTTCCTGTCCATATTTCCTGCCTCTCTTGCACTGCGGTTTTTACCAGACAACATTCTGCAATACCTCTGCTGTGGTGCAACAATTGTGGACAATGACCAGCAGTCTATCAGGTCCTTATCAGGTGGTTGATTTTTTTTTTGGGGGGGATCAGTAGTGGATGCTTATGATAAGATGCCCACCAGTATTGTACATTGGCCAGCAGGGCAAGCCCACGGTAGAAATCTGTTTTTTTTTAGTCATTGTAACCAAGTCTTTCAGACCACAAAAAGCAAAGAGTCTGAGATGTTGGAGTCCTTTAGGTTTACTCTAGGTTGCATTACCTCATGTACCAAATGATTTGTGAAAAAGTCCAGCTTTTGATTTGTGAGTTCTTGAAGTATCAGTCTGCATTGCGCAATCCTTGATCTGTCGCGTAGATTTCACATTTGAACTGGAGACACTGATTTGGTGGGTTACAAAAAAAATCATGGGGAGGTTGTGATTCCTTACATGCAATTTTGAGATTTGGGATTAAGCATTGAGCTTTGGTAGGGCTAATCCATTTCAATATTTTGCTGAATTGGCATTGTAACTCCTCAGTTTCGTTTCTTACTTTGGAACCTTCTATCCATTGTTTCCTCATTAAACTAAATTTACCTCTTTGTGCTGATTCAAATTGGTTTATCTGAATAGCACACTCGACCGCTGTTCAGTCCAGAGAATAAAACACTATTGAACTTTTACCCAAATAAAAAAACCCTCTGATGAGCAAAACCAAGTGTTACCCACTTTGGCAGTAGTACAAGAAAGAGAAACAAATATTGCAACATTCATGTGCATGCACGTACCAGCACTACAGTACCTGCGCACTGTTTGTTTGGATTGGAAGAGGGAATGTACATGTACAATGTATTGTTGCAGAAATGCCCCTCTTGAACCCATAACATGCATTGTGTTCTGATCCCATTGTCAGAAGCATACAAAGGTCAGTTATTTGACAGGTAGGGTTTTTTTTCCCTTTTTGAGGAACGTGCAAAACTACACACAAGAATAGTATTTTAAGAAAAGTCGTCAATCATAATGCATTGTGAACAGTAAAAACTAAAAAGAAAAATGAAAAAAAAAACCCCTTTGCTGTATACTATACATGTACATGTACATGTATGTACATTGTGCTGGATGTACTGTACAGTACGTGTATATTTGTGCTGAGGTAGCACACTTTCTTGTACTTGGGTTGTAGTGCTTTTGCAAACCTTGGTTAATTTGATTCATGCCCTGGAATTCTCTGTGAAGCACAGGTTTTACTTTGCAGATGTGTTTCTTTGAAGTGTTTGAACAGGTATATATTGACATGTGATTTCCCAGTGATGCAGACAAGCCTGTTAATCCCTTTGTGCTTTGGATTTAACCAGTTTTAATATTTTGGGTACATTTCCTGGGGACCGTTATATTGAAATGGGCACTGCATATATTCCAAATTGCATGGTCTGTCTTTGTTTTAAAAGAAGTAGAAGTCACATTTCTCCAGAGATCTGTATTGTAGAAATGTTTAAACATCTGTTAAACTTCAATTTGAAAATGAAAATGCCTTGATATGGTCAACAGATAGGACACTCAAGATTCACAATAGTATTGTGCGCTTGAAATGGATTTAAAGTTTAATGGGTCAAAGGAATTGACAGAATAATAGACCTAGGTCAAAGATCAGTCAAAAATCCAAGGTGACTCTCTTCATCAGTAGTTGTTTGGTGTTTGAATGTTAACTTGTAAATCTTTCATGTATTAAGCAGTGCACTGTGACTTATGCTCGGTAAATACATGTATTTTTTTCCCCTGAAGGGTGACAATCCTCAAAGACCTTAGAGGTATGACTAGGAAAGAATGATATTGAAGAAATTGATATTCAGTGGATAAAATTTTCTTATGATGAGCGTTGCAGTCTTGTTTGCTTCAGACAGTTTGCTGCTAATGTGAATTCTGGGTACCTGCACACTTTAGTGTTTTTATTTACTACAAATTAATTGGTATAAGAAGTGCAGGTACATGAATGGAGGCTGTTCATATATGCACTGTGTATTTGTCTAATGCTTGCACACACATAAGCCGTAATATAAAAATTCCTTTTTAAGAGACGGTTTATTTCGTGCAAAGTCTGTCATTTCGTCATGCCGTTTCACATCCATGTCCAATTGCCACTCTGTTCTCATCAAACTTCGACATTAATAATTATGCAAAATAAGGAAGCCGGTGTTCGTCCTTGCAAAGGGATCAATGTGTAATTAATCAATACAAGTATGGTCCAGTATTATATACGTGCACATTCAGGGTGTGCATCATGCATATACACAGCTTGTGCTTCATACATGTACGTCACTCACATTTGATCGTGTGTGTAATATTGCCTTTGCTGCAGCCAATGAGAGCTACCTTGAGTAAGATGGATGAGTAAGGAAGCCGCCGCTGCGTTGACTGGGGAAAGTTTGTTGACCGGTTCAGCGTAGGCAGGGGAAATGGGAAGGACTAACGCCAGAAATTAACAGAATGGCATTCAAATGCCAGATACCTACCTGGGTACAACTGATGTTTCTCATTTAGCTGAAAAATTTTGACGGACTCTGAAAAATTCGGGTCTCGGTTTCCTTTAACAGGATTGGTGAATCGATTCGCCTGTGGAATGTCAATTCAAATGGGGGCTTGGAGCTCTTGAGTCCTTGCTGGTGTGTGCTGGAGGGATTCTTCAATTCAGGATACGTGCTTGCCTGCAATCAGAAAAAAAAGAATTTCTTTGGTAAGTTGTTTCCATCACATAATTTCTTTCACCAAGACAAAATCAAAGAGCTGCAACCAGTCTCTTAATTTATTTTAAGCCTCCTTTGAAGTTTTGTCATTTGGGACATGTAGATTAAACAGAATGTCTTAATTAAATGAACAGACATTTTTTAGTTTGAAATTGCTTATTCTGTAACAATAGGGAACATAGATAACAGCAGAATAGTTGGTTAATTTCTAATTTTGCTGAGGCTTATTTTTGTTCCAAAAAGTGTAACAAAAACAAGTTTTACACAGTTGTTCCTGATTTTGTATTTTTATATATGTATTTTGTAATAATTCTTTGACTTTGAATTGATCCTAGAGCTTAGATTTGGCCGGAGGATCAATTCATTTTTATTTGATAATGTTGGATCATTGCCAGCAAGTCATGCTTTTCTGAATGATATTTACATACAGCCAGTTTGAAACTCTGCATGTAGTTTCCACATAGCAAAGTTTGTTGACCTGCACAGTACACTGGAGGAAGCTGTTATGCATATTTGCAGTTTACTCAGCTGCAGAGGAGAGGATTGGTTGAAGGAATAGTGTGTTGAATAATGATGAGCCCCCCTGCAGAAAAAAACCCTGATTGGTTCACACAGTCAATAGACTATACATCATGGCTGCTGGCTTGTTTCAGTAGGCATACAAAGTTTGTTGGCCCCTTACTTTTGAATTATTCATGAATTGAGATAATCCTAAAGTGGTGTTTGTTTTATTCTCTGGCTGCTGTTTAACTTTAAGATGAAATTTCTAGCAGGATGTTGTAAGGGCAGAAATTGCATCATGATCATTTATAACATTTCTTGGCAGTATACTGTTTTTCACCAAGGGAACTTATTTGATCAATAGTGACCTGTGTGATTTATCAATTGTGAAACAGGTGCTTTCTTAATTACAGCTTCTTTTTCTACCTTAGCAACAAGATTTTTCTTGAAATCATATTATCAGGTGTGCTTTTATATTTTGTCATTCCTAATGTCCACAATCAGAGACTTTTTTCATGTATTTTATAAATGTGTAAATTATGGAAGAGGGCAAATTCCTAAATTGGTAAATATATACTATTAATTATATTTAACAATAATATGGAAACCCAAATGTTGTTGATACTGTGATAGGGATTTCTTTCCCCACAGTTTAGAATCAGGGTTTTCAATTTATTTGTGGAACCAGTCATCTCTCAACCCAAGGGCCAATATTCATCTGAAAATGTGTGGAATTTTCTGCCATTGTTGTGAAGAATGCTTCAGCTACCATGCTCATACATGTACATGTACATAAACACCCACATGTACTGTACACATCATCAATGATCAAAGCATCTCAAGAGCAGTGTGTAAAAGTTTGTTGAACTCTTGTAAGCCCTCTACATTATTTAAAAGCTGTGTGTTGCATATTCATAAATCTTACCTGTCAGCTGCATGCAGTAGGCTCATCATGACCATGCACTGTATGACTAGCAGTCTCATGTAAAAGTTTGTTGAACTGTAGACTGAAGTGTGCTACATTATGCAGATGTTTATGCATGTACGGTATCTTGCACAGTGATTGGTTGATTGGGTAAGCAGTGCCAGGCCCCCTGGAAAGTTTGTTAACCTTTGTCGCAATTGTCATTGTAGTGGGGAAAGTTTGTTGACCTAGGTGAAAGTGATGCATATTCACAATACAAGAAGATGGACGTATTCATCATGCCTATGATGTAGTCGATGTGCTGGTTTAGAAATGCAGTAGGTGTTATTCATGACAGGAGGATGGGGTTGGTCTGTGGTGCTGCAGTAGTGACTTGAAAAGTTTGTTGACCGGGGTAAAAGTGATGCATATTCATCATTCTGATATGACTATAGAAGGATATCATGGATTTTGCAGATGGTTGCTGTGGGCTTAGAGTAGGGATGTGGAAAGTTTGTTGAATGCCTTTGTTACTGGTACTGCCTGGCGCACAGCATGCAGACTTCCATCTATGTAATGAAATGGTGACTGCACATAAGTCTCTGAGAAAATAGTCATAACAATTCAAATCAAATCATGTGTAAAAGTACATTTACATGTGTGTATGAGTTGCTCGATATTTAAATAGATAAGAAAGTTGTGTTCATTTAGGACACATTAATTACAACCAGTATTCTTCACCTTCTCAATATGGAAATTTCAGTTACTCTTTTACCGGCAGTGTGACCTGTGTTTTTTTTACAACAGTCCCATCATATTCTAATCAAGATTTTGGATTAGATATGAGGAGCTTAATTCAGAGGAGAGTCTTGAAGGGATTTGCTATAGTCTCATCTCTAGCTAATGAATATTCAATTTACATGTTTGCCAGTATTTGAACAGTTTTACCCTCCTAAAGCTCTCAGAGAATGAGACACATGTTGGCAGGTGTTCTCATTGGAAAACATCGCCAAAGGAACCACTTAATATGTCATGTGTGTGATATGCTTGGCTAAACTGAATGGGTATTTCCAGATCTGTGATCGACTCTTGGAAATGCTTTGTAACATCCTTCTGATGCCATTTGCAAACCAGACGGGATTTCCCCAGATTCTTAATTTGTTAAGACTGACGTGTAGCTGAAAAGGGTTGACTATTCAGAATGTTCAATTTATGGACACTATTGATGTACCGAAATCTTGACACTTTATTTGTCTATATTACTTTATTTATTGAAACAAAATTGAAACCTAAAACTGTTGAAGACACAGGGATATTTCTCTTCCTCTAGGCCCTAAGCTACTGTACCTGCTTCAACCTCTGGAAGCACAAGAAATTTCAACCTTTTCATAAAAGATTAAAGAGATGCTTTAATCTTTAATTCCTGGACTTTAAAGTTTTTGCACAGGGTAAAACAAATGTATAAGGAGCAGCAAGGTTCTTAAGGGTTCCATTTTCCAGAGCAGAGTTACAGTTTATGTTGGACTTCCTTTTCTTTCCATCAATTTAAATTTGTTAGTCAGCTTTCCAAGTGATTCGATTCCTGACAAGGGTTTTGTATCAGGTCAAAGCGGTAGCCAAATACTGGTGATTTTTCAGTGAACCTGGTTCCAGTGCCCTTCACTTCCTGAAGCCAGTCATTTGTGTAGTAGGTTGTGTGTCATTGGACTGATCACCAGCACCAAAGTTTGTTGGCCTTGGTTTAAGAAGGAATGAAAAAAAAAACTTGGGGTGTGAAAGTGCAGCGAAACGCCTGACAGACCTTCGTGGGGAAGCCAGACACTGCAGACAAAGCATTCAGACTGAACAATTTTGCCCCAAGGCTTGTGGAAAAACTTGCCTGTGTGTTTGACCCGCCGCAGAAAGGGACAGCCATATTTTTTGTTTTTTGAGCTCGGTAAAAAAAACTGCTAGTAGTAGTACTCTCTTGTAGTAAGGAAGTTAAGGTGAGTTTGCTTAACAGTAGGTCTCCTTTTCTAAATTAAGAGATTTTAACTGTTTTTAACGGAAGCTGAAATCACCAAGTGAAGGATCTTTGCAGGTTCAAAGTTTTAGATGAAACCATGTTGTAAGTGTACTTGTTCTTTGATTGAAGTGGGGGGGGGCATGTGTTTGTGTCCTTTGTCTCATGGTCCCCCTGTGGTTTAACTTGAAAGCATGGAGCTACGATAGTTTTTCCTAAAAGGTATTGGCTGGAAGAGTCACCAAAGATAAACGAAAAAAAATAGCAAGTGTGACCTCAATTTTAGAGGTGGGAAAAGTAACAAGCTAGCTTTTCCTTTGTTACTTCCTTTTGTGTTAGTAAAAATTGTTGTAATAAACTGTTCTTTGGCAATTTTTTAAGACAAAAAAGCAACTTATGTAAAATGATTTCTCTCCCCCCGTCTAAAGAAATCTGCAGTTCGATTCTAGCCAGATGAGGAATGGTATAACTTCAGAAGGTAACTTGAAAAGGAAACAGAAAGACAACTTTTAGCGGGAGGCACAGATTCAGTCAGGAAAAATTGTTACTGATAAAAACCAATAATGATGGACGGGTAAGACTCAGGGTAGGTCTGTATTTTCATGTATGTGTTTAATAGAAAGGTAAGAAGGCAGCTTAAAAAACATATTGTTAACCTGACTTCCAGTACACATCTGGGCCCATTTTCATGGTGCTGCTACGCACTGAGACTCTGGGGGCTGAATTTTATGAAGACCGTAAAACAGTTTATGCACAGATGCTTACCTGCATGCCTCCGAGGAAAACTTTGTCTACATACATGTAATATTGTGGAGTAACAGTGGAAGTCTCCATATACTCACCACAGTTGGCACAGTCACAGTTGCAGTGTACCTCCAAAGCAAATTTTTCTGCTGTAAATAAGCACAGCTTTTCTGCTACGCATAACTGTAAAATTTTGTAATGAAATTGAGCCGCTTAAGCTCAAAATTTGCTTAAACGTGAAAAAACCTTGCTTAATTAAACAAAGGTTACCAGCTCAAACTCTATGTGATTGTCATGCTTACCAAAAGACAGGTAAGTATATGTACTATTCCAAAACAATACACATCACAAGAAGTTTGGCTGGTAAACTGATTTGTTGAGCAAGGCCTTTTTTCAAGCTTAAACAAACTTTTTGCCTAAGCAGTGCTGTGAAATTGGCCCTTGGTTAGTTTCACAATGAGTAAGTTTAGCACTTGCATGTTTTATTAGCAGCCATGTAGACATGAAACCTTAAGGGGTTATTGTTCATACCTATCTACATAGGCCTATGTACATTCTATGTTGGTCAATATTTTCCTACTATTTGGAAATGGTACAATGTGAGTGTACATGCATAGCCTGTAGTTACAGTCTTTCTACATTGCCAGCCACAAATATATGTACATGTATCAGCTGTGAACTGAGCCAACAATGCCATTTAATGACATTTATGAAGTGTGCTTTTGAGATGCCTGTTTTTGTACTTTTTTGGTCATAAAATAATGAACTGCTTGCTTTATGTGTATGTATTTGAACTTGTACTGGTATACCAGTAAGTGTGGGGCCATATTTCTGAAAAGCTGAAGGATCAGCAAGTTCAACTCCATAAAACACACAGTGTCGGCAAAAGAATGATAAAAACGGGAGACCACCAAGTGTTTTATTGTCAGTCTGGCAATTTTATTTGAATCCTTTCACAGGAACCATTGTAGTAACACAAACTTGATGGGTGTCTCCTCTCAGTCTTCATAAACCTGAACCCATATGGTTGATATGTTCATGTACAGAGTGGAATAATAATGCAGTCTTGCTCTGTCCGTGAAGACCCCGTGGTGAGGATTTTTATTGGTAATGGTACTGTAGCAAAATATTGACCAAGTTGTGGGGACTTGCTGTACTGTTTTGGTTAGAATATTAGGTTCCGACATCTGCAGGAAAACTTTTGTTGGCTGGTTTATCTTTTGCATTACTCATCTTTTAGCAAACCTTTTTGTGATAGTACAATGTAGATCAGACTGGACTGGAAAAATCGTGGGACACTTTTTGTAGGAAAAACTCCCTTTTTTTCCAAAAGTTTTCTGCACTCCAGTCATTTGCCAGGGCAGTATTTGGAATGGATTACTTGAGTTTTGGGAATTAAATTCTGAGCTCCAAAATGATTAGACTTGGGGGAAGATAGTTCCATGTTTAACTCATATGAGAAGTGAACTACAAAAAAAATTCCTTTGCTGTATTGGAAACAGGATATGAGCTCCATTGCGAAGAAATAAAAGGTGCGTAATAGAATTTCAGTCACAGTCATTAACATGACAAAGGCCTTGAAATGAAAAGTTTGTTGACTCCTGGGACCGCCCAAGGTTTGAACTCTTTTATACTTTCTGGTTCGTTTCCTTTGTACTTGGGTTGCAGTGTAGTGTTACTGTTGCTTGCATTGCTTTCCGTTTTTGAGGTTTTTTTTCTGCCACGTTAAATCTGGAATCGAACCTTTCGTACAGGTATTTTGTTTCCCTATAGATTGTATGATTGTAGACTAAGGATATTCTATACAACCAGTTGTGTTTTGAAACCTGTTGGGGGCCAGGATGTTGAGCAGAAAAGATTGCATAACTTGGGCAGTTAGAAAGCAAATGAAAACAGTGGGTGTCATGTTCTATTTGGAGTTAGTTTTCCTATAATGTGGTTCAGATGGCAATATCAGTTTCATTGATGTGATACACCATTTTTTTTTTACTATTTGTAGGATTTCAGTCTAACCTCTTGGATTACAATGAGACAGAAATTGCTTCTGTTTGTGCAGTTTAATGGGGAAAAAAGAGTTGCAGTAGTTAAAATTGGGGATAAATGATAGGAAAAAGTCAGTGTGAGACCAGAAGAGGCTTCCGAAGAATATTTGAAATATACATGTATGCATCGGAACAGACATGGGGATACAGTTGTTCTTACCTCTATCAATTATCATCATGGTGTATCTGTTTAAAGAACTGATCAAATCAGACTTCAAGCTTTGCTTTTTGGAAGCAACAACTTTATTGACGATTTTAACGGTAGGCCTACGGACAAGTTTATAGGCTCATTCACTTGTAAATCAATTTTGACGTTGTTCACTTTCAAGGAGTAGAAGTGAAAGTGAATCAGCTATATGTATATGTAGACCAATTCGAAACAAAAATCCACAACAAAAGGACGTGTGCTGCAATGGCAGCTAGTAGTACACATGTACCTCTTAGAAAGATTAGGGAAGTCACAAACTGATTGTTATGTATTTTATGTAAACTTGGGGGCGTGTTTCAATCTGTGGGAAATGAATGTAGAATTCTCTGTGTGCCCTACACCAGAATGGCAGTTGAGCAAGAGGTCAGATATCTTGTGTAACATTCACAGTGGGTTGATTCACAGCTGTCAGTGCTGTGAAGTTTCCTTTTCACAGTGACTGGATGCAAAAACAATAACTGTCTGTTTTTATACTTTTCTTATGGTTTGTAAAATGCGCTGCCTATGAAAAACAGACTTTTAAAGTAAGTACACCTCATGGAAAGTCCCAAGAATATTGAAGAAAGAAAGGTGAAGAAAGGAAGAAATTCCCAAAACGTCCCGTGGTACCGTTACATGTATCTCTGGTATTTTGCCTTGATTGATAACAACCTTCATTTATTGGAATATTTAAGTGTCATACCTGTTGATTCTTTATTGTTTTTGTTTACATTTTTGTTGTGTTTTTTTATACATCTGGTGTAGATACGGTTATAAAATGGAAAGTAAATATGCAATTTTCCAACATTTGATGAATGCAGTCTATGCTTGTACAACCAGTGTCATGCACCAGTTTTGTACGTTTCGCCTCGCCCGGCCCCATCGTTCCTTTGTGACCAAATCAGTCAAAATGAAAAGTCTGTCTTTCACTGGTATGCACAGTGGGGAAATGCATATTTCAAAGGGGCGGTTCCTTAATCACTTTTGGGGCCAGTGTCTGAATTGCTGCAGAGAAAAGCTTCAGGAGGCAGAAAAGGACAGAATGGATGCTCAGTGTAGGATTTGTCACACCTCAACAGTTCAGCAGTGATAGTGATAGTAATAATGCAGTATTCAAACAGTTGGACATGTTTTATACTCCTCCTATCAGCCGCAGGTACGTGTGTGTACCTGTACTGTGGTGCATTATGACTGAATATCCTTTGTTAGTTACAGCTTATATATCTTCTTTTTTACACTGTGCAAATGCATTGACCTTGTCAAATCATGGGCCAACCTAGAAGTGATGAAAACTGATCCCAGGTCATGTGCGAAGAAGTGTCTTATTCACCAGGGCTTCAATCAGCATGGTGTAAATCTTTTTAAAGTTGTAGAAGAGTTTGTATATAGGGACCTTCCCTTAAAGTACACAATCCCCACAGTCACAGGACACCTGTCTGTATTTTGATTGCCATTCTCTATGGACTGTCGGAGCTGTCCTGTCTAACATTCAGCAGCTATTTACCTGTATAAAACTCTCAGCTTCCAGAGTCCCAGTTCATCCAGGGGTGGAGGTGGAAGGGGGAGGGGCTGGTAATTCCTCAACTTGATACTAGTCCAAAGGAGTAGTCCTTGGGTGAGGAGGCCAGTGATTTGTAAGATTCATTGTTGTGTGCATGTTGGGTCTTCATCTTCACTTTTGCAATAAATCAGTGTTTGAACTGCGTACATGGTTTTGCCACTGAAGAATGAAAATTCATCCCCTCAGCCTGATGTTCGGAACAAGTTGGATTCAAATACAGTGTAGTTTTCACTCAAAGCATTTCTTTTTCAGAGTTTCACACATTAATTCTCCTGGTTTGCGGTCTATTCCCCAGGAAGTTCTATACTTTTCTGGGCAGGAAAGGCCCAGGTTTTACTTATGCGACTTCTGAAATTCGTTGGAAGATCTAATTTCTTTGAAAAGCTCAATTGTGATCCCCAAATTGTGCATCAAGTCCGTCTTCATTGCTGGAGGAGAAACCTTGAGATTCTTAAATGGCCATGAGGAAGTTTTGTTGCCTCTAGTGTCACGATCTATCGCTATCTGGAATCCAAATCAGCCTGTGTTTGGACTTGATTCAGAGTTCACATGGACTCAGAGCTTGGATTATAGCAGAAGTGGGGGGATTAGAGAGATTAAAGTCTGGAAACTGAGGCCTTCAGATATTAATCCTGCTAAACCCACTGACCTTCACTTTGCATGACTTCTGTTATCTATAGCTATATCACAAGTTTCCACCAAACTTTCTTTTAGAAGTGTAGACATGTTGTATCTTTAGGAAGGAATAGAATTTTCAGTTTTGAAATAACAGGTGAGGGATCTGCTAAAATTCCTCAGTATGCCCATTTTTTTTGGCCGAAGCACAGCAGGCAGTGTAAGCATTCATCATTTATTTTGAAGCATTTGAACTTCTTTATAGATAGCAATGTTTTCTTTTTTATTCAAAGTTGCTTTAGAATACTTTTTAAACTCTTGTTTACTGCCTCTCCTGCATTGTAAAGTTTACTGGTGTTTTTATTCATTGTTTTGACTGCAGAGGTATGATCGAGTGGCAACTGTTACTGAAGCTGAAATTCAACATCAGTTGTTGGAAATCGTGTGGTTCTCAATTGCATGTGAGAGATCAACAGAGCGCCTGGCTTGATTGAGCTAAAATTGCAGCTGCACATCACACAGAATTTGTGACTTCTAAATACTTGCCCAAAAGACACAAGAGGCTTGATAAATGCTGAAAAAATAGCTTGGGGGCTGCATTTAGTGAGTGAGGATATACCTACAGGTATTCACTGAACTCAGGTTTCAAGTCAACCAGTAAGCCAGAAAGGAAATTGAAACTCCAAATTCTATACTGTAATATTTTCTGCTGCAAGTATTTGTCTTGGACTTATTCTGGCTGTGCATATCCAAGAAACATTCAGAATGGCAAATTACTACTGTATGGATCGCACCATCAACAGAGGTTTCTATAAATATGGGAAGTTGATTGCCCGACATCCGCTTGTCTTTCTGATCAGCCCCCTCATCATTGTGGTTCTTCTGGCTGGTGGATTAAGTCAGTTTTACTTCAATGATGATGTGGAGTATCTCTTTACGCCCGACGACTGCCGGGCTCGCATTGACGGCGAGTTCACCAGCGAACACTTCCTGACTGGGATTGAGGGAGGCGATTTTTTGCCCAACCGGGAGCTGGAGCTGTTCAACCGGAGGGGGAGGGTGATCATAACTGCAATGGACGGCAAATCAGCTCTGCGTCGTGACGTCATGGCAGACCTCTTGAAGTTGGACCAGGTGATCCGGTCATTCAACGTCACCTACAACCAAACTACTGTGGTCACGCACGAAGATGTCTGCCAACGCTTCATGGGCCAGTGCGTGGACAACGAGATTCTAAAGTTTTATCGGGGTCGCATAGACGAGTTTGAAAATCTGACCGTGACATATCCTCTGTCAGAGATCCCCATCGGATTTGGCCTGACCATCCCTGCGTTCCTCGGCCCAAACCTTGGTGGAATCATGTTAGACAACAACAGCAACATTGAAAGTGCTCAGGCTCTCCGCCTGTTTTACTCCCTGGGGACGGAACCAGAGGATGACCACCTTGCTGCCACCTGGGAGTTGGAGTTCCTCAAAGTGGTAGACGAATTCCAGAACAGGACGTCGACGATGAACATCCGTACCAGCACTTCGATGACGCTGTCCGTGGAAGTCAACGAAGCATCCTACCGAGTCTTGCCCCGCTTTGTGGCCACCTTCTGCATGCTTCTGCTGTTTGCTGTCTGCTCCTGCATCATGAGAGATTGGGTTCTCAGCAAGCCCTGGCTGGGACTCATCGGTGTCATCTCAGCTGGCCTCAGCATTCTCTCATCCATTGGACTGCTGAGCCTCATCGGACTAGGTTACAACGAAGTGGTTTCCCTCATGCCCTTTCTCATCCTGGGTGAGTTTGTCTTCTTTTCTGATTTTTCTGAATTCATAGCTTGATTTCAAGAGTTTTCTCAGCTGTGAATTTGTGTGTTGAGAAAACATTTACACTGTCTTGTAAGAAATGATTGGCGTGGCTAGCAGGGTTTCAGCCACTGAGCATGGGACAGTGCTTACCTCCATGAGCCAGTAAGCTGAAATCAGCAGAATACTGACCACAGAGAAACAAGGTAACAACACTGCAGCAGCTGGTGGCCAGTTTCTGTTAAGCATTGCGATGTACAGTAACCAGTGTTTGCTTTGGGACTCAGCCAAATTTACCTTCATTGTGGAATCTGTTTTGATTTTGTGCATACACTGCAGGCGTTGGTGTTGACAACATGTTCATCATGATTGCCGCCTGGCGTCAGCTCAGCCTTTACCTGTCTGTGGAAGAGCGAATGGGGCGCACCTTCTCTGAGGCTGGCGTGTCTGTCACAATTACCAACCTGACCACCATCTTGGCTTTCATCATTGGGGCCAGCTCCTCCCTGCCGGGCGTCCGCACCTTCTGCATCTACAACGGCGTGGCCATGTTATTTGTCTACTTCTATCAGATCACGTTCTTTGGTGGAGCCATGACCCTCATCGGTCATCGGGAAGCCAAGAACCTGCACTGCTACACGTGCAAGAAGGTAGGGTAACCTACTTTGTATTCAATCCTACAGATTCCTTTCTCTTAGCTTTTTTGTGTCTATGTCACCATGTGGGGACGATTTCTTTAGTTGGGATATTTGGAATAATGATGAAACCTTTGTTGTGTCCTCACAATGTTTTGGGTCCCCACACTGCACAACTTTCATACAGTCTTGAAGAGCAATCTTGGAAATAAGCCTGATAATGTTTGCCGTCATCTTTCTGCTGATCTTGAGAAATTTTTACCTTGATGTGTGAAGATTTTAGTTGCAAAGTATGATATCACATGCATCTTGACGTTCTGACAATCATTTGTCGTAGGTGCTGCCAAGGGAAGAGTCACCCAACAAGTTTTATCTTCTCTTCTGCTCTGGAGGCATCTCCAGAAACAAACATAAGGGCCACACTATCGACCTGGAGCACCGCATCATGAAGTTCTTCCACCTCTACTATGGACCCTTCCTGACCAAATCCTGGGTGAAGGGTACGATTGTTGTGCTCTATCTGCTGTACCTAGGGGGCGCTATTTACGGCTGCACGCAGATTAAGAAGGGGTTGTCCCTGAAGGACCTCGCCATCAATGACTCGCCGACGTTCCAATACTACGACTTGGAGGACACGCAGTTCCGTGAGGTTGGACCGGCCGTGAGCGTCATATTCAAGAACGAGCTGGAGTACTGGAACGGTACGGTCCGGGACCGGATCGAGAATCTGACACGGCGTATGGAGGAGAGCGACAACGTGTTTGGGGAGGAGATAACGCAGTCCTGGGTGAGGGATTTCAGCCGGTACTGGGAAGGTGTCCAGTTGCACATGCCGGACAAAGCCAAGCCAGGCAAGGAAAGCTTCATGGAGGTCTTGACGGAGCTCTTCCTCAATGATCCACGCTACACAATGTACCAGTTGGACATTCACCTGGTTGAGGATAAGGAGACAGGCGAAAAAACCATCCAGTCCTCACGGCTGATTGTCCAGACCAAGAACTTATTTACCATAGATGACGAATGTAGAACAATGTTGGAGCTGTGGGACCTTGCCGAGGAGTCTGATCTAGATGTAATCGCCTACCATCCGGCATTTGTCCTCTATGAGAGCTACGTCCTGTTCGTCCCCAGTCTGCTACAGGCACTAGGGATTACACTTGTCTGTATGTTTGTGGTCGCTATCATCATGATCCCACATCCTGTATGTGCCCTGTTAGTGACACTCTGTGTCATCTCCATTGACACTGCTGTACTCGGTTACATGGCTCTCTGGGATGTCAACCTCAACCCGGTTTCCATGGTGAACATCATCCTTTGCATCGGGTTCAGCGTGGACTTCTCTGCGCACATAACATACGGTTTCGTTATTGCACCAAAAGAGGACACCAACAGTCGAGCGGTGTACGCTCTCCATTCCCTGGGCATGGCAATCCTGCAAGGTGCTCTCTCGTCCATCATCTCCATCTCGGCCCTCTCCACAGCGCCTGTCTACGTCTTCAGAACTTTCTTCAAGACACTTTTCCTGGTGATGGTGTTTGGGGCACTGCACGGGCTGGTCATCTTGCCTGTGATCTTAACATTCATGGGGAAGTGCATGCCTCACCGAGTCCCTGAAGAAGAGAAAGACAAAGATGCGGTTGCCAAGCAACAGAAGTCCACACTGTTACCTTCCATCCCAATGAAACACACACCTGGTGAGCGAGAAAAAGTGGTTATTGATTTGCGTGTCACAACTGTATAGCAGCTTGTAACATAACCCCTTCCTGTATCATATACATGTAACAATTGTCATTTATTGTAACTGTGCAGTATTTTTGTGTTAAACCCAAATTGTCATCATTTTTTTTTCTTTAATTGAGCATGATTGCCTGTATATTAATATTTTCAATATATATGCATGCATGAAATATTTCAGATATGTTTGTGTCATTTCCATCATGCTATTGATGACATTTGAATGAAATTTGTTCAATAGTATTTTGTTTGTATTGATGGTCAAGTATACATGAAGGTACATGTATATTCATTTGATGCAACACATACAGCGTTATCTTGCGCGGAACTCTGTTTTACCTTGAATAGCCACCGGTATGTAAGAATCTCAGCACAGCTTTTGTTTTGTTCAGTGGTTTCTCTGTAACTTTGAAGCGGAGCTGATTAACGTAGTTTTGTGATGCAAGGTCATGATGAAATGCGCTATGTGTGTTTGGACTTGCTTTGTTTGCATGGTATCTGGTTAGCATGTGGAGTTGGCATACCTCTACCTGCTCATACTTTCTGTTTTCCTTGATTTCTTTCTTGTTTCCCATTATGAAACAAATTTTTGGGATTTTTGTCTTGTGAAATTCCCCCTTGATCGTGCTACCGTTTTGCATGCCCATTACGTATCCTGATGCTGGTTCATATCAAGACAAGAAGCGTTCATGTCGGTGTTAACTGTGAAAGCGTTTTCCTCGCAAAGCACCCATATCATCGCATGAATTGGACCACTTTTGCCACTTCAGTCCATCATTCCAAAACTCAAGCTACAGTGAATAAATAATCACCTTTTCTCTTTCTTTTCTTGTATTTTCTTTCCCGCAACCACAAAAGCTGCCCAACCAGTGATCGCTTAGGAATTGTTGGATCAGCAAAGAAGTGTTGAGCTTTTACACACAAAAACTTTGAGATTTGATGTCACACTTAATGTTGCAACGTGTGTATGTCTTGGAGTGATAAATGTGTATTGTGTGTGCAAAAGGGTTAGTACACAACAAGGCAATAAAAATTGTAAGTCAGTGCTAAAATCAAGTCCTGTCTTAAACAAGTATCAAAGTGCTAGAGAAACGTGCAAAGTTGACATGTAGAAAAGTAAGCAAATATTGTTAGCAATTGTGGTGTTGCAGTACTTTTGCTGGTATTTTTTGTACATGTGGGTATTCTACGCCCGAGTGGACTCTGTTAAGTAAGCCATATTTTTTTAATCCCCCAGTCAGTGTCATCAATCTCTGTTGGGAATGTATGGGGATTGCGGGAAATTCAACGTCTCGTACTTGACACGAAATTGACAGGGTGGATGTGGAACAAAATGCACGAGACACAAAGTCCATCCTTGGAAGGGGGGGGTGCCAAATATGTCCCCATTGTCTTCCTATTCAAAGTCTGTCACCAAATCCCTGATTACGTTTGCAAGGTGAGCAGAAAGATTAAGGGGTAAAAAGGTTACAGGTCCTATGCAAAGTCCGCTTGGATCAGCTGTTTTTTGACTGATATGAAGGTATTGCTTGCGGTCGAGAGACTTATTTAGAACAGATAAAAGAGATCTGTCCTCTGATTGTATTGTGAACTAGATTATTCAAAGCACAGTAGACTTATTGTTACGTTGTAAATGCTACATGCACTAGCAATATACATTTACTAATATACAGCTTCACGCAGAGAACACTTTACTGCTTCAAATATGTTCCAGTCAAATTTCTAAGAAACACAAAATCTAGGAGAATATGAAATTATATTTTTGGCAGTGTTTTAGAGCTGTGATACAGGCATAGTTGCTGAGAAAGGGATGGGAAAGGTGTATCATAATTGATTGATACTGTCTTGTACTGGGTCCATTATTGTATTAGCATTCTCTCGGAGAAGTCTGTTGCACTCCTTGGCATAATCTTTGAATCTCCACGTACACGTACATGTATTTATCTTTTCCCCACTTTGTTAAACATGTACAAGTACGGTACATGTAGATCCAAGACCCACTACTGTGGATATATTATTTAAAAAATCAGGAAAAAAACAACACTGCATAGTATTTCAAGAAAAAAAGATTCTTCTCCAAGCTTGGCTATTTAGGTAAAGTACATGTACATGTATATTTACATTTGTGACAGAACCAGAAATATCAATCAGGGATCCGGAGTAGTTGAAGCTTGCCCAACTTAAGCTCTTGTGATCTATATGTTGGCACTTACACCAAAACCAGGAGAATAGCAAATTTCAGGGTTTACCAGGGTACAGTATTTGTAATAAGAGTAAAACTGCTAAAAAAAACCACACACACAAATAGATGTATTTGCCATTATTATTTGACCAATGTAAAAGCAGCTATTGTTTCATGTTACTATTTTGCACACACGTCCATGTGTATATAAATGTACATTGTAGATCTTGACTTTTTCCCAGATTAGATTAGAATTGTGGAAGAAATCTGTTTGTGTGGAATCTCGATCAAGGTTCTAGTTCTTTTGTTTTTAAAACAGAGTGTGTTTTGGGAAGAGTATGCAACTTATGTAAGTATTGCATAAATGAGCAAGATTTGTCATGAATATACATGTACACACAACCTCCCAGTTCTGGAAGCGTTGTATTTTTGACTGGGCCAAACCGGTAAAATGCAGTGTTTGTGGCATGAAATAAGGCAGATACAGTCTCAATTTAAATCACGCACTTTTGGTGAAGACAGTGTAGTCTCTGGCTAGAGTTTTACTTGCCATCTGGAACAGGCTTTCACCAAAAAATGTGAAGTATGAATGTGAGATCACGAACTTTGCCCTCTCTAGGAGCTTTTGTCAAGCTTTAAGCGATGAAAACTATTGAGTTTTTGTGTTGGTTGTCAATTTAAAAGGTGATCAATTGCATCAGGGACCAGAGATTAAAAAAAACACGGCTAAAAACAAAGCTGAGGTCTGAGAAAGGCCCTGTAAATTCTTGACGTGGTTCTCCAAACATTATACAGCCCAATGCCTTTATAGCAAGGTCCTTGGGACTTGAAAGATTACCTTGGTACAGGAATCTTGCATTAGCAGTGTTGAACATAAAAAAATACATAGAGAATTAGGACGGAAAAGTTTGGTTCCAATTAGAGTTTATCTGTGTGTAATATGATGTCACAATAAAAGGAGCTTTCTGGTGATGTGACGTCTCAGCAGTTGAATACATTAGAAAAATGCTAAATTCTTGCAATATATTTTCTATTTCTGGTGAAGTCTTTATTGTGTATTTTTCTCACATTTCCATTTATAGTGGCATTTTTTTTCTTGCTAGTTTCTTTCACTGTGATTAAATTTTAGAGTGGTAGAAAAAGGTTACTTTTATTTGTAAAAGGGAACAAATTATATCGTTCAAATAGATTTTAACTAGACTGATTGGCAAAGCAATGCAAAGAATATATGATTTTTGAAGTACTACATGATTACTGAACACAATGTTTATTGCACCTGCTAGCAATTACACATTTTCAATGCGACTTGTTACCCGATCCTCCAAAATAGGTCCTAATTCTGGCGACTTTCAGACTTCTCAGATCTTTGAAAACATATAGCCTGATCCTCATTTGGATGTAAATCTGTCGAAAGTTGAAATCCAGACAATTCTACACAATGAAATCTACACAATTCTTTATAAGTTACTTAGCACAATTCTATGACGAGTCTTTAGCATTAGATCATATAATCTATGTAACACACAATATATTGGTTTAATTAACTCTCCCCAAATCAAAATTTATCAGGAAAAATGCCATGTCTAGCATTTGGAAGTTTCTATTCTTAATTTATTGCGAGTGAAGTAAATGCACATATTTGCATTTAACTACAGCAAAGTTTGAGTTGAGAAGATGGACTTAAATACGTATCTTGTTTCCAGTGGAAGCTGATGGATAAACGCACGTTTAGAATTTTCCTTGTAAAGTTCAAGATAATAAAAGGTAAAAAACTGCACTGAATTGTCCGGTGACTTTTTGTCCATTTTTTTGAAATCAATGTTGATAGAGTCTTGTGGCCTTATGCAGAGTTGGATTAATTCCCTTCAAAAGTTTTATACTTTTATGCTGCCAGGGGCAACATTAAGAATGGGGCAGACTCTGAGTCTCAAGGGAGGAGCACTCATCAGCTGTGAATGGACAAACCATTGACCGTGGAAAAGGTCAATTCCGAGGTGTTATCACTTCCATTCCCTTTCCTCCGTTCTTTTCGTTATTTTTCCGTTATCCCCCTTTTTTGGAGGACGCCAGTGCAAACAGAGGCCAATGGAATACCCTCATGCAATAGTTTTTCTTGGGTGGGGGGTCCGTTCTTCCACTTTTGCTAGTACGAATTCTGTTTCTGAACTTAACTTCGTGAAAATCCACCTTTCCCCGTTGAGAAAAAATTGTAGGCTGTTTTCACAAGTCGATTGTTACGTATGTAAACATTCGAACTTTTTTTGTCAACATAATATGGAAACCTAAACTATTGCCACGATCCTAAGGAAATCTTATTATAAGCTTTTTCTATGTTTTAATTTTTAAGTAATGTCCTGGGCAGTTTCCCAACCTTGCTTTTAAAATTTAAGGTTTGAATTCATACTTTATTAATTAAGCTCTCCAAACGCAAATGCATCAGTATTTTGCATTCAAAAATCTTTTAGCGATTCATTCAAAGTTTCTGTCGAGTTTTTCACACACGTAGATAATTATAGCGCGGGCCCTGGCAATATTCTTTAAAGAGGGCGCTGTTTAATTTTGCAGCACCTCTCAGTGACGTCATTTTCTAACGGCCAATCGAGTTGAGTGTTTTTGGATCGTAGTTTGATTTGGCCAAAGTCATGAAAGTAGAACTAAACAAGCACACCAAGACATAGTCTAGAGCGAAAGATTGGGCATTTCTTGGTAAGTTTCCGTTGTTTTTTAGTTTCAGTCATACTTAGTTTTCAGCCATTAATTTTGTGTCGTCAGCTGTTTAACCAGTTCAGTCTTCTCCGTGTTTGGTAGTGTTGGAAAGAAGGAATTTCTTAAGTTACAACAGTTGCGGCTAGACCCCAGTCCCCGTAACGTAATGTAGGCGTAGGGCATAATGTACGTGACGGTGTAGGCCTAGTCATGCGGTGTTCCTTCGTCGTGTTGCTCCATCATGTCCATAAATAATAGTAGGCCTAGTAGTACTAACGTTTGCAGTACTAAATATTACTTTTTTATTTAAACATTACTTCTTTAGTGTGTCATGTGTGGTGGCATGACACACTAAGGTACATGTACTGTAGGAACTTCCATATACATGATATATGGACGCCACTTGTTGACACCCTGTGCTTTTTCACAGCTTAAAAAAGTAAGTAACACTAGGCCTACATACATGACATAGGCCTACAACTGGCGTCTGTGTATCATTACTCCTTGCCAGGTCCATATTTCATGTAATTTCGCCACCTGTTGTCAACATCCTGAAACTGGTTAAGTCGCATTGGTATTCACAGTCCGTGGCCAAACTCACCCTGTCTCTGGCCTGGGCGCATCCGACAATCATGACAATGTCCGATGGACCATCAAGCCTGGATCTTGTGCATGCTGTGGAACTGCCACGAAATACCGTGTTTTCGCAAGATGAAATAAACTGCAAAGTACGCTAAACTTCAGAACTCAAGAACGTGGTGGTTTATTCAAGGATGTTGAGAGCAAGAGTGTATACATGTATGTCTAAAGTAGGCCTACATGCATCATCAATCAACATTGTACCATTAACCCTAACAGTCCCAAATCCTCTGATTTCAGTATGATTTTACACACACCCTAAGGGGTTAGGGTTAACAGTTATGACAGTAGGCCCTAAGTGGCGAAATAAGGGACCTGATAGTAAAGTTAAGCATGTTCATGCCCGGGCTATGGTTGTTACGTGGTGTCAAGACTGAAGTTATGTCTGGATATTCACTTCCTACAGCATTACCGGTAGGACTACATGTAGGCGTAACCATGAATAGATGGAGCTGATAAAAGGACTAACCTCCTAAAGAGTCATGTTACGCCCCAACTATAGCATAAGTCCCAACTATGGTTGGGACAGTCCCAACTGTAGTGCTGCAGTTGGGCTAGCCCAACTATTGTTGACCAATGTCTGTGGAAAATGTCTCAACATTATCCAAGTCAATGTGTCTCACACTTGACACTCTAGTTGGGACAGGCCCAACTATGGTTGGGATGTGCCAAACTATAGTTGGGACTAATGCTGTAGTTGGGGCGTAACAGTTGTCCTGTCGTAGTTAGGCATAAAGATATTTTATTGCAATTAATATGTTAAGGAAGAAGAAAAACTTCATTTAGGCCTAGGCATGTTAGGTAGCCTACATGTACATTGTAAGTCTGTGTGTTCATAGCGTTGTTATTCTTGTTTTAGACGGGTTAGTCTTCATGATTCAACATGTTCGAAAATACCTTGGCACTTTTCCAAAATAGCCATCGGAAATAGGTTTGTGATAGCGGCCATATTGGCTGCTTTCATTCTTGTCTCATTATTTTCCTGAAATCTCGCGAGAAAAATTACATCATTATCATGTGCCCTGATAAAAATGACGTCATCGCCACTTCAACAAGTGACATGACCTGGTTAGGTTAATTGCATTTCCTCATGTTTCTGTCATCAATATGTAGTCATTGTCAGTCATTGTGTACATGTACAACATGTCCGATTCACCTTTTTGAGGAAGATTGTTGAGAAAAGTGGAAGTAAAGTCCAAGGCTTCGAGCAGGATCAACCAGTTGTATTGTAATTAATGTGTACGCATGGACCATGTCCACCCGACTAATTTCACCTAACTTGGGGTTACTCTTGAGTGTTTTTGAATTAATTAATGTCAGTGCATTGTTTTAAAATTCAGATTTCAGAATGGATTTTTCGTACTCCTACAAGAAGAAGGGCCTAGGTCTGGATGCGAGAGAGAAAAGATTCTTGCGAGTGAAGCGACGTTCTGTAGATCAGCGGCTGCAGCGCGACGAAACATACATGAAACATCGAGACATCGGGTCCCTGACGCCACTTAAGGAAAACACAGACGAGAACGTCCAGAAGAATATCAGTCAGCCAACAGCAAAGACAAGACAGGGGAAAAGTGCAGCTGTACAGAAGGCAGCTAAGCCAACAGGTAGATGGCAAACTCAAGCCCTACCTTACAATGACAGACGATACCCATGCTTGATCCCCCAAGTGTAGCATCGGTCCTCACTATACCGTACTGTGAATCTCTCATGCAACGTGCAACTGCTCAAAAGAAGTCTGTATCCAGTTACCACTTACATTCCTTAATATGACTTGAAAATTATCGAAAAAGTGCCAATTTGAGGAAGACAACCGACTTGAGAAGGAAGAAACATTGACTTCATAACAATGTTTAATTTGGTAACCGGACATGTACATGTATATGGAACTCTTTCCCTGTACGCAATGTTATACATGATACTGAAGGGTAAAATGAAACAAGTGAAGTCTCTTTTACACTGAAAAAAAGAAACTGTGACCCACATTTAGAGATTAAAAGTAGTGGGGAGAGTTCATCTGATCAGCCCCTTATTTTTTGTCCAGCATTGAGAATTGAAGATTTCTAATAATTTTCAAAAAAGGATGATTTACTTTGTTCCCAAAAAGAGATGGCCACATTTTGTTGTGCTCTGTTGACAGCTGATGTCCAGGCGGTAGCATCCACCAAGGCTGAGACGGCAGGAACCTTGGCAAGAAGGGAGATGCTGCAGAAATGGAAAAGGGAGAAAGAGCTGAAGAAGAAACTTGCTCTGGAGAAGGAGAAGCAGAAACCCATGTTCAAGGTTTACAAAGTCACCCATGACAAGAGGCCCACCAACTTGTCTGTGGTCAAGGCACCGGTGCCGACCAAACCCCAGGTAGCTATGTAGGGACCTTTAGAGATGGTATGCATACAGGATATGTACAGTGTATGTGGATCCAAATATAGGGTGGTTAAATCACGACTTTGCATGGTTATTTTTATCCCAGACACTTTAAGCAATGTGCATTGCACGTCAATATGCTGCTCATACATGAATACATACCCATAGGTCTTGGAAATGACTGCATGGCTAGTCATTGTCGTCACTCGGCTTTGCCCGTGGAACATGCGAATGAAACTAATGGCTGGATGTTGTTGATTACTACATGTAGGTACAGAAAGACACTCCAGCGCTGCAACGGCGAGTCACACGAGCATTAACTAAAGCTGCCAGTAGCAAGGTACATAATGATGGTTACTGCTTTTTGTCAATTATAAATGATTAACCCTAGCACTCCTCAGTCCTCCAACAGGTGAAGGATTGAGGAGTGTTAGGGTTAATGTACAAAAAGTTATAAGTTCCGCTGATTGCGGGATTGCTGATTTTTGATCAAATCTGAGGCATTTTTATACTTGCAAAAATCCTGTTTTGATAAACATCTCTTGACGTAGGTTTGTATTTGAAAAAAAAAAATAAAACAGTGTTCTCATAATATTACCTCTGTTGATTTAAGAATTTATTCCAAATCTTCCTTTTGGAATTGAACAGTCTGTAACCAGCCAGTCCAAACCAAGTGCCCCTGTTACGGCTGCCCCAGCCAAACGAGTGACTCGGCAGTCAGCTAGACTGGCATCAAAAAGTGAAGGTAAGGTCATATGACTCATATTCTTCTGTGCTCTATGCTGCATTGTGTCTAACCTTCAAAGAGCCTTCAAAAATCCACCAAGAGGTTTGGGGGATTTTGTAGGATTGAGGAAGGTAGAACTAGGGCTGAGTCAATTCAAATTATTCACTTTTTGAATATTCGACCTTCAATTGGATCAAACATCTGAATATTCGGTCTTACCGACCGGCAGATTGTTGATGACCAAACCATATACAAAAATCAGTTGCAATGACGCACACAATTGTACATCATAATCACTTTAATAGCTTCTTACAGCTAGGAATATCTCCAGCCATGATTTAGCAAGATTTAAGAGACGAACAATACTTCTTGCCCTGTTGAAAATTTCTATTTTAAATTTTTTTAAGTGTAGCTGCAATGAATTCCTTTACCCCACAGTTTGCCGTCTGGGTCAACACTTGTCTAAACACAGTGAAACAATCTGTTACCAAAGAAACTGTTTAACAAGAGCCTTTCTACATGTACTTTCCCGAAGATCAAAAAGAGAACCGTCAAGCCCAGAAGACCAAGCCAGCTGCCAAGACGAGCATCGAGAAAACCAAGGCACCTGTCACTGAACCCACCGCACCTCCCCCAGTTGAGCCCACCAAGCTACCCTCCCCTACCTCCACCCAGCATGTAACCAGCGAGAGGGGGAATTTCTTCCAGTTCCCCGACATCCAGCCCTCATTTGCACCAGCCAACTTCACCTTCAACTTTCAGTTTGAGCCCATGAGCCCCGCCAGCACCCAGAACTTTCTCTTCCCCGAGACAGCGTTGCGAAAAGGAAGGTAAGAGGAGTGGTCTGTGGGAAGGGAATTGGAAAAGGAAGTGGCCATTTCAATGCAAAGACATGTATAACAACGTCCTCAGGGATTGTAGACGTTTTGGGAAAATGTCACTATTTGGCATCAATTGCTAGTGACAACCAGTAACTTGAAACTAGATTTTAAAAAAGCCAGAGTAACTTCATGTGAAGACGTGTATGTGCACTTGACAGTCTTTATATTGTCCCTATTTTAATACGAGTTCAGATTTGTAGTCCTACTTCTTGGGTTCTGCAGGAGACTTTTTCCTGCGTTTCTTTAGAGGCAAATATCATGCCCATATATTTTGAAAGGCCTTTTTTTATGTACATGTATGGTCTTTTTATTGAGTATTTATTGCCAATTGACGTTGCATATAGCTCACACACACACACTAAATATTATTTGTTTCCTTTGTTAACAGGTGTTCTACTCCTAGATCAGCGAGCCGACGGAAGCGAGCTACCTCCCCTCAGCCGCTGGAGATCTCGGCCATCCACTCCCCCAAGAAATCTCTGCTGCAGGATCCGCCCCCGCAGAACAAAAAAGAAGGTATTCACTTGCTGTCCCTCTCCGGCAAAGCAGGTGTAATCTCTGCTGATTATTGTTCCCGGTCTTTGCCCAAGTTTTTACTCTTACTTTACCTTGGCAGATTTTTCATCTGAATGTGTACAAAGGTGACAGGTGTACCACAGCTAATAGTTATTCCTACAAGAATTTTCAGTATCTCTGTTGTGCATGTTTTTTCCTATCATGCACCGGATTGAGATTGATGTCTGTTTTTAATTGCTTTGAAGATGTGTCCTATTTCCGAGACCTGCTAGTGACAGAGACTACCAAGTTGAACGACCTCTGCAGCAAGTGGGAAGCTGTGCAGAGGGACACAGACCTGAGTGACGATGGTATGTACTTTAAAAATTTCGGTCACTGAGTATGAGCACACTGTGGTCAATGAGGTACTCATCAACTTTATTGAGACTCAGTAGCCAGTTAAGCCCTGCATGAAGGTCCCATGCTTGAGTTTGAGTCTAAACCTTGTGCATCCTAAGTGTAATTGTTCATAGTCCAGTTATGTTCTTTGTATTCAGCATCCTCTGGTGTTTTGCTTTGCCTCGATATTTTGTCACTGACAAGACCTCATACATTGCTTCACCTGCCTCAGTTAGTGGCGAGATCCGTTGCACCATCGGCAAGGCTCAGCTACTCATTGACCAGAGGTTTAAGCAGTTCTCAGGCCTGGTAGATAACTGCGAGTTTGGGCTGGGAGAGAAGAAAACTCATTGCTCAGATCTGACTGGCTTCTGGGACATGATCTACTTCCAGGTGGGGCATGATGGTAGCCATCAACTCTTATGTCCTTTGCATTTTTGCTAGAAACTTTCCTGCATCTGCCAAAATACTCTGTACCAATGCCACAGCCTTTTACCTTTTAATTGTCAAGGGGTGTCAAGACTTCTGTAAAGCAATAGAGGCTGGGGTCTACCTACCTCAAAATGTCTTTCAAAACCTCCGGGTGGATTCTAACAAACTTGAATATAGTGTTTTTGTGCAAACGTTCTTGGTTCAAATTACCCACAAGTAGTAGTCATGTTTCTTATACTAGGATCGATTGAAAAGTGTTGGCAAGTTTAAAGGAAATTGAGCCATCTGAAATAAGTTGGAGTCGGATTCTATCTTCAGACTTGAAATGAATGTCAGGAATATATGTATTTTTTTGCACTGTGAGAGTAAGTGCTTTGTAACATGTCAGGAATTGAACACTTTGGGTTTCAAGGTGGAAGATGTCTTGGGGAGGTTTGCGTCTCTGGATCAACTCCAAGCCAATCACTGGGCTAGGGAGGAGACAAAGGTGGAACCTGCAAGGACCAAGAAGATCGTCAAGGTGGGTATCCTATTGGTGTTTATTGCCTATTATTCCAACATGCTCAGCCCCTGTAGAGGTCCCCATTACCCCACCTGTGATCCTTTCATGATTTGAATGGAAACACTACAATAAGACTTTGCTTCTGTGAATGTTTCCCAGTTCTAGATGATTTTGTTTGTTGTAGAATAGACTGCTCATTAGACAATGATGTTTTGATTTCCTTTTGTTGCCCAAGAATTCCTGTCTGGCAGACGATAACATACAAGAGGAAACTTAAAGTTTGGTTCAAATTTTAGTTGTCATGCTTTGATTGTAAACATTAAATTGACTCAGCTTTTAAGTGCTGTAGCTTGGGTTGAATTTACCAAAATCTGTTATGTCATTTTACTATACTTCATGGCAAATCTACCCGACAAAAGCATACCGAGTGAAGGCCATGAGCCAGCCAGAAAGCATTTAGTGGCTGGTAATGAATGCCACCATGAAGGCCAGACCATTGAAGGCCGGACCTACTCTGGCCTATACTTCAGGGCAAATCTGCTTGAGAAAAACATACCGAGTGAAGGCCATGAGCCAGCCAGAAAGCATTTAGTGGCTGGTAATGAATGCCACCATGAAGGCCAGGCTGTTGAAGGCCGGACCTACACTGGCCCTTAAGGATGATTTGATCGACCTTTTACTGTACTTTGTCTTGTGCTTGTGTACTAGAAGGCCAAACTGGTCACCAAGAGCCAATCCAACAAGGATCGGGAGGCAGCCAGGGAGCGTCTAGCGGCTATCAAGGCCACAATGAAGGCCAGACAGACGCGGGCCAAAGCGGCCGAGCAGGTGGTGTTTGAAGGCGGGTTCTTCAAGGTTGAGAGCCCAGTGCGCACCCCTGCCAGTCACTGTGAAGGTAACTAACTCACTTTGGACAATCTCAACTTGGGATATTATGCTTTGTGTAGAAATCAGTTTGTAAGTTTTTGTTTATAATCTGGGCACAAGAAGCTGGTATTAACTTGGAGGCAGCTAACAAGGGTACAAATACTTTGGACACTTTCATAGTCAGCCTCAAACATTCACTCAATCCAACATCTTTGCCCTGTTCTTGATTTCCTCGGAGCATTCTATTTATGTCTGTTTTTTTTTTCATCACAAGAAATAAAGTTGAAATGTTAAATATCACAGGTGCTATTTCCTTTAACCTTTTATACAATCCACTTTTCCCCTCCTGTAGTTGTATTTACTACCTCTTTGAATTACTTTTACATTTATATTTCAAAACTATTGATGAGGTAAATTTTCAAATGACCTATATACGTGCTGGTGCTTTGTACCATGTATGTTCTATTTTTTCAGCTGGTTCCCCGTTCAAAGTTCGACCATCCCACACCAGTGGCAGCAATGCCAACACCCCACTTGCACAGGGATACACACCCAAGAATGCACGGAGGTCGATACAAGGCAAGCTATGCGGCACGCTTAGCAAGTTAGTCCTCGGGGAGGTTACTGCACCTGTCAGCAAATCGGCCATGCCCGTCAGTAAAGTGACCACGCCCCTCAGTAAAGTGGCCACGCCCTCCAGCCAAACAGCCATGAAGAATATTACAATGACCATACCTGACAAAAAGGTGGCCACACCTGTTGGCGAAATAGCCATGGCTGAAAGCCAGGTGGCCACACCCTTGAAATTGGCCACACCCTACAGGACAGACTCCAGGGAGGATGATTCTTCCAGTGTCTCCACCTCACATACATGTAAAGATGATGAAACTCAGGTACATGCACATGTATGATCAATATTCTTCTTAACTTGATTTTGACTTACCCCTACCCTATAATTCTGAGGTCGGTTTGTTCAAACTTTGCTTTAACCGACTTATTTTGTTATTACAACAGGTATTTTGGCTCATGCTCCTGTGCTGTTTGACCAACTGTCTTGTTTTTTTCCCCGCAACCCTCAAGTAAAGGATTCTAGCCAGAGTTTCAAATTTTTGGAGACGACTTTTGAATTTTAGACTTTTGTTTGCCAGCAGAATTGTCTTTATGATTATATTAAAAGTGAGTTTTTTGTAGATTTTTACATGTCTTTGTGTATTCTCCATGCTTGTTTTGCCACTGTTTTCATTTCAAGCTCACCTTTAGTGCCAAAAATCCATGAAACCAATGTCGTCAACTTTGCTGGTGCTCGTCTTACCCGATGTGAACTGACCCGTACAAGCAAGCAGTGGGTTCAAAATTTAACCAATACGAATCCTTTTATGCAAAGGTCTCCCAAAACACTAACCAATTCCCTCCTGCATTTTTCCCATTGCCCCAGAACCTTCTGACTAAGTACCTTCAACCCTCCGTGCTCTCCATTGTTGATCTCAACCAGGAGGCAGAAAAACTCATGCAGACCGAACCTCAGCAGCAACTAGCTGATCTCGGGGTCCGGTCACAACTTTCCAATACACCACGTAAGTTGCCAAATTAACAAAATCTGACCTGATCCGTCAAAACCCCATTTAAGGTTCTTTTTTTGCATTAAAAAGAGCAAATTTAGATATGTTTATTTCACTGAGTTTGGAATCCTGATAGCAATGGACATGATGTACATGAAAAATTATGCTCAAGTTTTGTTGATTTCCATCGTGTAAAATTCTTTTGAAGGCTTTGAACCGAGACACAGAGATGATGACTCGGGACTTCATTTGTTAGGCTGTCACAAATGAGTTTTGGCTTCATCCCAGTATTTGGGGAAGATAAAGAGAAAATTGTTTGATAAGTGGATGGCAGTGAAGCAACAGTTAATTGTAAACGTTGACCTCTAGAGTTTTGTTCTGGGTTTTTCTGGGAGGCGAATAGTGGTTAGAAGCTACCCTTATCTTCAAGCCAATACATGGTTTTTGCCTTGACCATCCTTGCTTTGTGTAGGCACCAGGAGTCGATCTAGGAGCTCTGTGCTACTTCCAGGACTCAACAGCCCTCATCTTTGTAGGACACCCACAGCATTTGGCAAGGTACAAGTACTTCACCTGTCGTGTGTGGGAACTGTTCAAGGTCGAGCCTTTTTCTGTTCATGAAATCTGAATTGCTGAGAGTGCAGGCAGACTGGTTTGCTTGATAAACATCTGGGGACATGCCATTCTGGCCAGGGAACCACACTCAAACTTGCGTCCTTCAACTGAACCTGTTTGTTGGAGAGGTATTTAATTTTCATGTACCACCTCCATGAGTGTGTAGCGCACCTCCAGTAATGGCTTCTAAATCTGGTTGCCAAAGGCTTGGTATAAAGCTTATTCAGATGGTAGGCCATGTCCAAATGGGCTTCTAGAGCTACGGCTAGGTCTGATGTCTGTGTGTTTCCGTGTATTTCCTGAGAGTGAAGACTTAGACCTAGCTCTATAAAGCCTCTTCAGATGGTAGGCTGTGTCCCAATAGGCTTCTAGAGCTACAGGTAGGTCCATTGTCAATGTGTCTCCTTGTATATTCTAGTGGAGTGAAGACTTAGACCTAGCTCTAGACAACAGATTCGGATGCAGCTATAAATTCTCTTTGTGGACTCTGTACTGCACTAATCCTCTGTGTCACAGTTGGTAATCGTCTCTATCTACAGGTGAGCTTCTCCAGTGTCTTCACACCACCTCCTGGGTCCTGTACCTCTACGTCTCAGGTCGGGGGCGATCTCATCCACTTTGACTCCCCAGCACCAGTCACCTCGGGTAAATTTCAAATTTGTTTAAGTCTTGATGAGGATTGCCAGCAATAATTAATAATAAACGAGTGCACTGAAAATGGAAAATTATCACCGCAATCACATTTGACTGGTAATCTCGTATATCTCTCTTGGAGTGAACAGGTTGATTTGACACACAATATGGCTAAGAATTTCATAATCAGAGACCGAATTTCTCAGGATTTTTGGGTCCAACATCTCTAGAATTGTGAGACATTTGATCAGCCAAGTTTCAAAAGTCATGGAATTTTTCAAACATTGTGTTGTGATTTGTATAATCAGAAACAAGTGCATAAAACGCGTGATTTCATTAGCAATTTCAAACGGCTGAATAGTCCAAGAAATTGCATTATTGGGTCATGGATTTTCATCGCTGGCTAGTCAAAGCACATTAAAGCCACTGTACTGTGGTGCTGTCTTTGTTACAATGCTTATGCTGAATGTTTTGTGAACTTCTCTTCCTCCTGAAATTCACCCCCGCTGGGTGTCAGAGAGATTAGGGTGATTCATTTCTGTCATTGGTGTGGCATCGTGATTCTAGCATCAACATGGAGGTGTCAAGGACTTCAATATTTTTGAAGGGTAAGGTCTTATGAACTGCAAAGGTTCATGTAGCCTTTTTCTGTCTTTTTGGCTTCCATTTGCAGTTGCGGAAGCCCCAAGTGCAGAGTCTTTAAGTCTGCCAAATTCCCGACCAGCCCCTCCCACGGACCTGAATGGTGATGCCGTCAAAGCCACTGTCCGTCGCTCCATCCGTCTGCGCCATCACTCGGCTTGTTCCCCGCAAACAGCCACCCACACTCAGGCTAAGGTAGCCAAGTCCGCATACAGACCCAACCTGTCCATGATGTAATTTGCCTTGTGACTTGTTTCTGGCAAATAGCAGACTTGAATTCCTTTCTATAACCGAGGTGGAGTTTTTACATTGTATCCCATTATCACAAAAGTACCTCTTGTGTAAAAACTAGTATTTCGACTTCATATTTGCAGTGACTTGTACTTACCTAAAACATTTATCTATTAACAAATTTTAAGCAATTATGTCCAGATTATTAGTTTTTAAATGCATGTGATAGTTAAGTGTTTTTTTGTTATATCAGTAAATTCTACTCATTTCGTTTTGTTTAAGTATACAGTACTACCTCTGTGATCCGTTATTGAGGTTGTGCTCCACATTGATCAGAAATGTACAAAAGTCAAGATGCTTGTGGATTTTAAAACAATATTGTAATTGAATGCAAGACATTGGACCAGATGCATGAATATACGTATATACTGTAAGTTGATTTACTTAGCCTATGGCATATCCAGGCTTTGGGTGAGGGGTTGAAATGGAGGTTTTTTAAGAGAAATCAATAATATTCCCTCAAAGAATTAGGCAATGTGCCTAAAGGGGCCAATTTACTTCCCTATCACCGTTAGATATGCCTCTTTCGTGTGCCTAGAGCTTTCCAGTCCAACACCTGTGATGTCTTAGATGGCATTTCATTTCAAAGATCTCGGATATCCCAGACTTGAATGAATGTCAATAGTGTTCGGATTGTTTCTCCACAACAGTTTTATACACTGTATGTGTACATGTAATCAGAGCTGTACATAAGAAAGTTGAGACATGAGTGTCTCAATTGTTGGAACCAAAATGGTGGATTATGAGTCAGTGCATGTGGACAATTAGCACACAGTAGGCAAGCGCTGTACCTCACACATAATGAACAGCCATTTTGTTTCCAAAGTCTGAAGTTGGCACTATACTCTCTATGTACAGCTCTGCATGTAATGTCACTGTCAATCCTTTAGTAAAAAGTTCTGGTTTTTTTTTAATCAGTAATGATACAGTTATGACTTTTTTAAAGTATGCGTAGTATTTGAATACAATCATGAGTCTCAGGTTGAGTTCTATAGTCAGTATTTGCCAAACGTGGATGATGGCCACACATGAATCTTGTGGCTAAAGCTGTCTGAGTTTTTCTTGGTTGTAAATATGTAGGTATATGTGCTGACAGTAGACAAAGCCTGTAGCTCTGGATGTCCGTTTCCGACTTCGCCGATCGCTGAGGGCCAACTTTGCGTTTAAATTCAGTATGGCTTCATCAGAACAATGTGGAAAAGTTGATATTGATAGTTGCACCAACAGAAAGCAGGACAGGTTTTAAGTCATATTTTGTTGCTGTCAATAGATGATCAGTTATAAACAAGTAATATGGTTCTGCAGAAGTTTTGTCTGAGTAAATGGTGTAATGTTCTTCGAAGTTAAAAATCTCCTCAAATCAAGAACATTTTGAGTAACTTTTCATCATTCTGTGTTGGCCCCGTTTTATTTAAAACCTGATTATTTCTGTTCCTAAGACATTAGTATTATTGAATGGTAAAGGTTTGTTAATAAACTTTAAATGGTCGTGTATCATTGGAATTTTACGTAAAATAAGAAAATTCCTTTAATTTTCAAAAATGCAAGACCAACCCCTTGCAGATAAGGCAAGACTAACCCCTTGCAGATGTGAATTTTTCAGATAATTCATTTCATCACTCAAGGGTGAGATTTTTTAGCTGATTTAAGCTTTTTTGTTTGGATTTCACCTTTTTTCCTCACTGGCTGTGTGCAAGAGTATAGATTTTCATACGGCGATCAATGCATGCAGTGCACGTGTGTGCAGTGGGCGTGGTTTAAACTGAAGTGACGTCACACTTACGAACCGGATAGAGATCAGTGGCAAGAACCCGCTTGTAACCACCTGTCTTTCTTTCGCCGATTGGGGGTGCACTTTTGCTCGGGGCGGATACACCGCGACTGCACGACAACGCGCGTCGTCGCGTTAACGTTCTACCGCGACATGTAGGCGTAGAACTAGTTGGCGGTCCGTCTTTGGAGATTTCGGGGACGATGGCGGGTCCGTCACCCAGTTCATACCGGAGACACCGGTACCCTACCTAACCAGCTAGCAACGGAGTCGGCGAAGCCTTCCTTCATGGCGAAGCTAACGGCGGTGAGTCCAGCTCAAATATAAATAGGCCTATCGGACTAGACTGCAACCCATTCCCCCATGTCCCCGGATTCTGTAGTTAGTACTGGTGATAGTTTGGTCGTTGACCCAGTTTTGCTAGGAGTCAGTGATTGAAGTCCGAGTGTAAACTCATTAGGTCCATTTTACATACTGTATTGGGTTTTGGTTTTATTTTTTTTCTTTGTTTGCATTTTTCTAGTACTTTTTCATTAATAAATTCTTGTTTGTCCTTTTGTTGAAGTCAAATATTGGTGTCTGAGTCCTAATTAAATCAGTTTCCTGCGACTTTTCCTTCAAAGACCTTTGGTTTAGTTAGAGTTTTTGGTGTTTTGCGAGTTCCCCGTAGTGTGTCATTTTTCCCTGTTACTGCTGCAGTCAGTCCGCAAGGCTGGGACATGTTGCAGTGTTGTGTAGAATGGGCGTGCAGGCCCCCCGTGCAAGGAGGCACCTGTCACCGCCAAGCATCGCTCCCTTTAGCGCTACGTACATGCGCTGCACGAAGACTCCATCTGCTGTGTTGGGCGTGCGCTGGTCATTCCAGCCGGTGATAACCAGCAATGCAGGGCCGCTGATGAGCGCTAGCATGCGCACTGGCAATCAACAGCTGACTAATAATAACCAGAACCCGTGAGCGACTTTTCATGCTTCCAGCGCCCTCTAAGATGGCTGTTCTTCGGCAATAGTTGGCACATTATCCGCATAAATCAGTGGCTGATTCTCTTAAACAAGGTTTTTTGCAGGGCTTTTCCCTTGGTTTTAAGAGTCATAGGTTAAATATCCTCCCAACCTTTGATGATTAGTCTCCTTTTTATTGCCTTCTAAAATAAATTGAAAAAAAAAATCCTCCTAACCTTCATGATTAATTTCCCTTTTTCCCTTCTAAAACTATCCCCTGACCTTCATGATTGGTTTTCCTTTTGTTCCCTTCTGAAAAATATCCTCCTAATCTTGAACATTGGTCTCCGCGTTGTTCTCTTCTAAAAATATCCCCTAACTTAAATGATCGGTCTCCTTTCTGTTCCGTTTGGAAAATATCCTAACTTTGATGGCTAGCCTCCCTTTTTTCCCTTATTAAAATATAAAAAAAAATAAAGTACAACATAGTTTTCCCTGAACATGTATTTGCCAATGCAGACAGCTAATAATGCCACATTCTTTTCTTATCTTTACCAGGTGTTGAAGGTGGATGACAGTGTGGTTGGTACTGTTCCTGTTGGCTCATCCTCAGGCATCACTGCTAAAGTGATAGCAGCGTGGTTGGTACCCTGCCTGTGAGTGCATCTTCTGACATCACTGCCCCGATGATAGCAGCTTGGTTGGTACCCTGCCTGTGAGTGCATCTTCTGACATCACTGCCCCGATGACAGCAGCTTGGTTGGTACCCTGCCTGTGAGTGCATCTTCTGACATCACTGCCCCGATGATAGCAGCTTGGTTGGTACCCTGCCTGTGAGTGCATCTTCTGACATCACTGCCCCGATGATAGCAGCTTGGTTGGTCCCCTGCCTGTAGGCTCATCTTCTGGCATCAATACAATGACAGAGTAAGGCGATAGCAGCATGGTTGGTCCCCTGCCTGTAGGCTCATCTTCTGGCATCATTGTTCTGATAAAGTAAGTCATCCTTCAATTTCTTTCCTTTCAAATTATAAGTGTAACATACATGGTTTGGGTATTTATAACAATTTTCCCTTTGTACAGGGTTCCCATGGTCATACATATAGAAAATCCTCAAAAAATCACTCTGAAAAGTCAATGAGAATGCATTCAAAATTGGGGGAAAAATGAGTCTTGTTTGTCATGGTTGTTAGAGGAAAAGTCAAGGAAAAGACATGGAAGTCACACAAATTCAAATCCTGCAAGGGTTATTGTTTGATATTCCACTTTTATGTGATGCCGAAAAAGACAGATTTACAGGCTGTCCTTTGCTTGTGTGACAAACTTCTTAGTTTGTGATTTAAAAACCTAACTTTATCTTTTCTTGTATTTTTTGTCTTTCCCTGTGTTTAGATTTGTAAAGGCCCGATTGCCAGGTGAATGTACTGCAATAGCTGTCAATGTTGAGGCTGGCTAATGTATATGTGCATCGTGGTGCGAATGGACTGACCAACGATGAAATCTCCAAAGTTGAAGATGCAGGTAACCATGCAGGTAGGAGTCTCATGTGTCATATGCTTGCAAGGGTGTATCTCATAATCTGGGAAAGGGGGGATGCATTTTGGTTCTGGATCGGCCCTTGGCTTTTGGCTTGTAAAAAACAATAGGTGCTTTTGGTTAACACAGGGCAACCCTGACCTAGGGATGGTCGTTTGTACTTTGTCAAACAAGCAAGATGGTGGGGATGTCGTTAAACCCTTGTAACCAGGGCAAGCTAGTTGAATGCACCCACTATTTTGGAATTTTCTGGCCTAAATTTCTTTTTCCCCGGTGATTCATTGCTCTTTCATGGAAAATTACCAATGATCGATGGTCAGCATTTCCCGAGACTTGTTCAAGGAGCAAATTTAGGTTTCATAATCTTAAAATAAATATTGTACTCATAAAATAAGCATCCTCCCCATTTCCTTAAAATGCCTATAGATTGACCTTATAGTAAAGCGCCCTCAATTGTCTAGATAGGCATGATGGCACTTTTTAATTCACTTCACCCAAAAGGGATGTCAAATAGGTGTCATCAGAAGATAAATTCCAAATGATGTGCGATATGCAGTGTTAGTTCAGTCCATCAAAAGTCCTGTCATGAGTAAGAGATCCAAGTCCTTTCATCATACCGGGTAGTTAATTCTCGGACTGAAAATAGTTGAAAAGAATGATAGACTACGAGGGACTTTGTGTCAGACTCAATTACAACACAGACTGTTTTGTATGAAATAAGGTGTACAATTGAGGACCATACAAGAATCCTTGATTTTTTGTTAGAATTTTCTCAGTTTCTACTGCAATTCATTTTTCTATGTTTAATTTCTTCCCAGACAGTGTCGACGGGGAAGCTGTGCGTAAGGAGAACCAGACACTGCTGATGAGAAGAGCGCCCTCACCTCCTTTATTGAGAGAAGCAAGATGGAGGACAAGATCCCACAGGACTTCCTAGATATGGTTCTTGAGAATGTCAAAAAGAAGTAATTCAGACAGATGCCAGTCCTCGCCTCCGTCACTGAGACGGAGCAGTTCCCAAGATTGCAGAAGGGATCATCAGAATCTTAGGCATTGATCAAAGGCAAGGAAAGGACTCAATCTTGTCAGAGATGCAGTTTCCTTAGTGATGGAGCAAGTCTATCTGCATTTCTACACTACTCAAAAGGATCAAAGGATCAGAATTTTAAAAAAGGATTCACATTATAAGAAATATGAGTGTCATTTAATGCGGTTATATTCTGGCAACACAAGGAGAGAATCTTAATTGGTTCCAGTCCAATGCAAACTCTCTACAGAGTACTGAATTCTCATGACACTGAAGAACACTTAGGTCAGCATCTTGTCCAGGTGTCCTACACGGCCCTAAAAATAATGGAAGTGGAGTTTGGGGAGAATCTGAGTTAGAATGATATCCTGATAATGTGAGGGCGCTATTTTGATTCGGAAATTATTACAGCTGAGAAGTGATGCACTGAACCAAGATACGATAGGCATCACCACATGAAAAAAAACTGTCAACAGCTTTTTTTAAAACAATAATGCATACTTCTGTACCACATACGTCACATTTTTATAATTATCCACAAATATGATGACGTGTACCAGTGAAATTCATTTCTGACCTAAGAAGCTGCTGTTGCTGAGAAAATTGCGCCCTCTCTTGGTCAACCTTGGGGCTCATTGGACTCTGAAACCCATGATGCATTATATGTTATTGTATCAAAGTAGACACCTGGCTGAAAATTTCCAAGACAAAATGTCTGATCCTTTGATATTTTTTGAGCAGTATTTGTTGGTGTACAGTACTATAATGAACAGGGTAGAGTCCATACATGATTCTTTGAGTAGCATACCTCCTTAACTGTTCCGGTTTAATTGGGTGATATTTCAAAGGCCCAAAAATGGAACTTTTCCAATTTCTGTAAAAAAAAAGGAGAAAGGGATTCATTGCTAGAGGGCGCTATTTGCCAAAAATGGGGTGCCATTTGCAGAAAAAAGAGGGTGCCATTTGCCGTCATAAAATGGTAGTTCAGATTTCTGAATTATCAATATTGCGGAAAACTCGGCTTTCGAGTCATTATCGTCATTCCTAAATTTGTTTCTTTAATTTTAAAGCAATTTTCAATGTGCAGTAAAAGTGCATGGTAAATTTTGGAGCCAAGGGGCATGTTCCATATACCCAATTATTCAGGACAGTGAGGGTTGTAGTGTGTTCATGACTTAACCACTTCCTGCCGGGGACTCCGGAATCGGAGACGTATGGTTTATGTGCGTGGCAGGGGTCTCCGAACTCGGATAAAGGTAACAGGGCCCTGTAACAAAAGACCGTACTCCGAACAAACGACCTGGCTGCTGGGCATTACCGACATTTTTCACTCTCAAAAGGGGTGACAATCCAGCCTTGTTTTGAAATCGTATACCAGGTTTGGGGCATTGAGAGCGAGCGGATTACCACCGGGGACAAAAGCGCTCCTCCACCGCAGCGATGAGCCACACAGCACCGCTGCACGCTAATCTGGCCCCTATTGAAAAGAGGTCAGCAGTGCACTGAGCCAGGTTCGTGAATGAAAGACAGTTATACAACACCGCACAATCTGGGCTCTGTTTACAAGGTTGCAGGCCTGGCTGAAATACTCAGGCGTCAATGAAGGTCACCTGTCAACTTAGAGTAGTGCCTAAAGATTACTTCGTGCGGCTATAAACTACCGTTAAATGAAATGATGAATTTTTGAAGAATTTTGAAAACAGAAAAAATGATAGTCATGCTGGCCCAGCATCATCAACATTGAAAAACGCCCCGGCATGAAGTGGTTAAGAGGTACTTTTGCACACTCAGTACAGTCAGACACAATCGATCAGTTTGCTTTGAAACAAAAACTACTGTTTGCAAATAAGCTTATATCTTTGATGTATCGTAACCCATGTACCATATTTACACACATTTAAAACATTCATGTGTGTAGGTTTAAAAATGCTATACAAAAATTCCAATGATGTATTTGTATGAAAAATGTATTACCATTTGGAAAGCCTGTAGATGCTTGAAAGCTTTTAAAATTTGAACGGTAAATTATGCAATTCACATCTCTGTTTCCCATTCAGGCAGCCAAAATACCAGCCCTGTTCAGTCAACCTAGTGGCCGTTCTGAACCTCACTTCAACAAGTTTTTCCTCTGACAAAATTCTATGTGTGTTTCATATTTTCCAAGTTGTACCTGCACATTGCCAGAGCATTAGAAAAAGTCTTTTGCTGAAAATTATCACAAAACTGCAAGTCACAAATTGTTGTCTCAGTGCTAAAAGTTCATTACTGCAAAAATGTAAGTTTTGAAAATACGGCCTCACTCTCAGCATGAAAACATATTTTATTGAAACAAATATTTTTGAAACTTATTCATCAAACTAGATATTTTGCAGGCAACACTGAAATTTCAATAGTTTTCAATGACGTTTTAGCACTGACACGAAATTTGTTTTGTTTGAAAATACTGCCTTGCAAAAATGCCTTTGTGTGTTTGTGAAACAATCACCATTTCTTGCTGTAACCAGTGAAATAAATGTTCATTTATTTAAACTAACATGAAGTTTTGCTGGTATCATCTGATTGTGAAAATGTAGTACTTTGCCACTTAGCCCTTCCAATCTCAAGCATTTTACATTGCCAGAGTTACAGCCGTTTCCCTTTTACCAATGTCAACCATTTTACATTGCCAGAGTTACAGCCGTTTCCCTTTTACCAATCTCAAGCATTTTACATTGCCAGAGTTGCAGCCGTTTACCTTCCACCAATGTCAACCATTTTACATTGCCAGAGTTGCAGCCGTTTACCTTCCAACAATCCCAACCATATTACATTGCCAGAGTTACAGCCGTTTCCCGTCTTTAGACTGTACATTGCAGCCCCATCCTAAGCCCTGCCAGTCTTAAACATCTTCCAAGCTCCTTAGATAAAGTTCCTTCTTGAAGCCTTTAGTGTCAATCCTACAAGGGCTACAATAAGCCCAATAGCAATATGGGACATAATGAAGCTATGTCCTTCAACCCCATTGGATCCTCAGAGCTCTAATACTGGTAGTCCCAAGCCCTCAATCATCCACTCTACCCTTCCTATCAGCTCTCAGACTTCCAGGCCCTAGGACTGCCACCCTTGCCCATCTCCAGTACAGAGTTTGGCCGAAAAATATTCTAAGTCCAAACAATGGAAGGTTTAAGATTTAGAAACGAGCACATTTCTTCAAGAAAGTGCCGTGGCATAGCGGTTAAGGACACTAACTGCAATGCACAAGGACCTGGGTTCAATTCCAGGTGGGCATGCACAATTTTGTTAAAAAACTTAGTATATAAAAAAAAAAAAAAAAAAACCTCTTTTTCCTGGGGACCCCGGGATTTGAACCGGGATCCCCTGGCCTGACAGCCAGCTAGCTAACCACCAGGCCAATTGCCTCTTGATAAATAAGATTTCGGAACTTATATTTAAAGGTTAGAATTGCGCAATTTCAAAAAAGGTCATAGGGCACAGCTTATCTGCATATATTTAAATAACAAAAGGAGAAATTTGAATATGCCAACAGCAGGGAATAGACAAAATATTCAGACCTTGCGTGTACATGCACTTCATATGTGGTATTTCCAAAATATATTTCCAAACCTTTCCGTATTTAAGATTCTTCAAAGTATTCATTTCTACATGTAATTTATGTTTCTGTCACAAAAAATTCATTTGTTTGTGGAACATTTAAGATTGAGAATTTGCAAGAACTGAAATTTCAGGGCATCTAAATTTTGAAATTTTTAGGACGTATAAGAAAGTTTGGTAGTAAGCCTCTATCTTGCTATAAACTTTCTAGGAATGTGTTGAGCATTAGCCGCATTACAGGTACCTGCTTATTTTGAATAAGAAGTTTCTACACTCTGAGAAAAACTATGCATAAAATCTCGAAAATTTAGAAAAAAATGAAAAGCAGTATTAAATATGGTACAAAATAATTCAATTTTTCTCCGAGAATTTAAGAGTTCTGATTTCACTTACTTTGCACAAGCATGAACAATATGATGGATATTTTGAATTTTCTAAACTTGAGTACATATCTTGTCTAAAACTTTGTCATTTTAAGTTACTCAGATAGTTACTTATAGTATGCTTGATGGCTTTCTCTAGAGACAAAAATATACCTGTAATAGCAGTCCTAAAAATATGGGTTTTGTGCAAAAAGACGTTGTGCATAATTAACTAGAAATCTCTGTTCCCTCTTCCAAAAAGCCTAAAACTGTTCCAAATAAGACAAAAGCCTTAAACCATGTTTTCCATTTATGTTTTGCTGTAAGTGTAATCTTTGAGCCTAAGCGTTGTAGCTCGCTGTTTGTGTTACCTAGGATTGCCAAAGGAAACCCCAGCAAATACCACAGCAGACAGGAACCACTTCAGCCTCGCTGATGCTTTTTGCCTACAGGAACAAGAAAAAATGGAAAAGTTTTTCAGGACACTATACTTAGGACAGTGGATGTTTAGTCATCACCACATTTAACTCAAGGGTATTTAGTCTGCTACAAGTAGACAGCGCCCTCTTTGAAGCATATGCAAATAAGCTAATAAAAGGTAATCAAATTCCCATGAAACGTTCAGTGGTCTAATACATAGGACACAAATCTAAATCACAAGATCCAGCTGAATCATCCTTTTTTGGTCCCAAAAATAGACTGGGGGGGTCAGTTTTAAATTTACTTCAACGTTTAATTACAGAGTATATGTATGTCATATCGACTGGCCCTGGAAGATTTTTGAACAGGGCAAGAAAAACCAAAGTGGCCTTAACAGTTGTAAATGAGTAGTCACAATAATTTTGTTAACGCAGAAAAAAAAGTAAGAATTTTATGTCAACCCCCCCCTTTAGATGTACAAGTGCATATTGAAAAATATTGTTAGGTAAATTTGCCAGCGACGGCTAAATGTCCACTGTCATTACATTGTTAGAATGCTATTATTTTTTAAAGATGTGCTACTATCTATTTTGCATATGAAACTCTGTGACAATTTAATTAAAAACTGCACTGTATGACAGTCCAACCCCTTTACAGGGTAGCTGCAATTAATTTGTTCAATGCAAACCTTCAAATTGCACCGTTGTGACTCTGATCTATTAATCTGACTTTGTTTTCTACAGCATTTTTGTGTCATGCTAATGATGAGCATTTACATATTCATGAGCCAAACTGTGATGTCATCCCAGGATGAAAGCCTCAATGCTTTGCACACAAATCCTGAATATCTGTAGGTTTTACTGGACTTAGTTTTCACTTCTTTGTAAATTCACTGTTCTTAATGTGCACAGCAAAAACAAAGCATCAAACCCTTTATCAGATAGGTTTTCAGTAGTTAAATTCTACAGTCACAATTTGAAACACATATGCAATGAACCATGTGTTCCCTAGGTGACTTCAAGTAACTGCGCCCTCAGTTGTCCAGGAGAGCATGAATAATTTTAAAGGATTGCAGAGGGGTTAAAGAAGATACAAAGCTGAAGAGAGTGTGTGTTTAAGAAAAATTGATTACAGCTATGCATTCCATACGAGGTCCTTGGAAATTTGTGTGTTTAAGAAAAATTGATTGCAGCTATGCATTCCATACGAGGTCCTTGGAACTTTGCCGATCACCTTGTATTATCAGGACTGAGAACAATGCAGAACCAAGAACGGCAACTTGAGAATGCTTATGTTACATTAAAGCAGAATGAGGTATTAGCTGTGTTCTGGGTAATAACATAAATTAGGGGCCCAAAAGTGTAACATTTTGTGTTCCTGTTACATCTGGCCTTTGTTATTTGACATGGAAATATCACTGGAATTGATTCAAACTGTTACTATTTGTTTGGTGGGTAATCTGCATCATTAATTCATCGCTCTTGGAAATTAGAAAGTGTGTTCTGATGTGGTAGGGACATGAAAGAAAGGACTCCTAGTTTCTGGAATTATCCTGCTCATTAATGAGGTTTGAATAATTTGTTTGAATCCAAAAAGAGCTAGGGGGGTAAGAATCTGCCCCTCTTTGTGTTCCAATATCATCACAGTACGTTTTTTACACACCAAGCCTTTAGGAAATTTTCTCGTAATATCTTCTAGTCATTTTGACCTCAATATGGTAAAAATCAGACATATTCCTTTCTCCTGCTGCACCAAGTATTTCAAGAGAGCTCATCAGCCAAAAATGTCAACTTTCCCCACTGATGTAAGCTGACACATATGTGGCCTTCAAATGACACCAATAATAAAGTCATGCATCAGATGGAATTGATATTTCCC